TCGCTTGCGGATTTCTTATTTTTCCTTCTACCCTGAAGATGGAGGCGATACGTTCCTCCGAAACGTCGGTTAATACTACATCTGCTCGGTGTCACATCCCAGAAGACTGCTTTCTTCATAGTCACCGCCGTGAAAACCTCAAATCTTACAGTTCTTAAAGTGTTCAGATTTTCGAGTGTCGTCATAAAGCGTATACAAAAAAAATCACAGAACTTAAAATAATTAACTTGTAATAAAGGGAGAGTGAGGCTAAATCAGTATACAAGGAAACCAGATGATAGCAGTATGGCCATTAGTATTCGTAGCATAAGTAATATATTTTTGCTCTTTATGGTGTGGAGGAAATCTGTCTATGGCTCTACAGCCCTTGCGGATATTGGGCCGCTTTTTCAAGTTTCTTAATCTATACCCAGTCGATAGGACTTCTTGGATGGATCATCAGCCCGTCATAGGGCCTCTACGTACACACAGAACAACACAAACACAGGATAAACGTATACAGATATCTATGCCTCCAGTGGGATTCGAACTTATGATACCAGTGTTCTAGCCGGCGAAGACTGTTCATGCCGTAGACCGCGCGGCTACTATTATCGGCGTGTGGAGGAAATGTTAAAACGTATTTTTGGGCAAAGGAAATTACAAGTTTATGTTCGATTTCTCGTTTGGTGTCTTGTAGCGATTGATCTAATCGTAATGCATCATTGTAGAGCCTGGTTTACCAGGAATGTAAGCTGCGTGAGTTACCTGTAGCAACACTAAATCCCGGCGAACTTCGGAGCAGCGGAATCTGTGTGTTGAGGCTAACGTCTCTATCAGCTTCTCACACTGTGACACTCTTCTGCCGTCGAATCTCCCTACATTCCCTGGCACAGCCTCTCCAGGCTGAACTCTTTGGAGATATAATTAGCTGATTTTCATTGGCCACTTGATAGTTACCAGCTGGTCGATAAATTCCGTCTTATTGAAACCGGACGTTCATCAATAGATTCATGACAGCCCGCCAGTGACTTCTACCGAGCTGCTCATTTCTCTTGGACCATTTTAAGAATGTTCTCCCAACTGCGGCCACATCTTCCAAGTAGTTTCCTCTTATTGTGATTTCAGATCAAATCAAAATGATTTATTCTCCGTAACAGTATTACTTGAAAACATAAACTTCTCAATAAAAATAGTATGTTTTTGGACATCATCCATCGTCTTCTCTTTATCTAAAAACCGTCCTGTTTGTTTTTCAAAACACAACATTTCGGAGACTGGATTCTGTCTCCGTCTTCAGGGAAAGCCTACTCAGTTGGGCCCAATCATAGAGCTAGTCCCTATCGTCCGTTGTGTTTTGAAAAATAAACTGGACGGTTTTTAGATAAAGACAAGACGATGGATAATATCCAAAAACATAATATTTGTACAATACACCATCGTCACAAAATTTTAGATCTTATTTAAATTTCTTAAGCTCCTCCTTGTGTAATTTCCTCAATTGTCTCTTACTGCGTGATGACACTGTCAGCACCTTCTCACGCTGGTTCATCGCTCCCGGATTTTCTTTTTTTATCCTGAAGATGGAGGCGATACGTTCCTCCGAAACGTCGCTTAACACAATACACGGCCCCACATCCAAGAAGACGTATTTATTCACAGTCACCACCGTGAAAACCTCAAATCTTACATTCTGATTACAAGTTCGATGACTTCATCCAAAGTCTTTTGAAAGTTACAGTATACGAATTCAAGCTGACAGACAGGAAGGACAGGAAGGAACAGTTTTATACAAAGTTATATTTATTCTGCGCCGAGGTTTCTCGCCGCATATATTATGTAAGCTCTCTTCGGCTGCGAATAAGACTTGTGCTATTGGCCGAAATGCGAGTATACCACGTGAGTTACAGAAAGATCTACTGAACTCTCATCAGTATAAGAACCGTGTCAGAAATATAGAAGGCCACATTTCAGGGGCTTAAATTATGCATCAGCATGTGTTTTTCTTCGGGTGGGGTGAGACTGAGTCCACTTTGAACGTCGGCCACCCTTTGGCCTATTGTACGAGGCCCTGATTATAGATGAAGGTGAAAGTGGAGCCAGTCAGTGGAATGAGAATTTGCAGGGGAAACCAACGTACTCTGAAAAATCCTGACCCAGTGCCACTTCGTCCAACACAAATCCCACATGACCTAACCTGGGAACGAACACGAGACGCCGAGGTGGGAAGCCTGCGACTAACCGCTTAAGCTATGGTGCGACCATCAACGCACTTACAGAGAGAGCTGACCTATTACTTTAGGTTTTCCTTGAAACTTATATAGTTAATAAGCTAGTTAAATATTTCTCGCTTTTATAGAACCCAAAACTTTATTGACGTTTTCAGAACAGACAGCGGACGCTCTAGCGGAATCGAATTCACATGTCACACCCTGTTTCTCAAAGAGACAGTTTTAGTGAATAATTTTGAAATGCTTTGAATATTACAGCTTTTTTTTTTTCCTTGGCACTACAGCCACAGTGGGCCCACCTCCATGAACTTCTCCGTTTCACTTCGGGTTTACTAGATCTTAAACATTCGGTAGGACTCCTTGGGCGGGTGATCGGCTCGTCGCAAGGCCTATACCTGTACACAAACGCAGAAAAACACACATACCAAACATCCATGCCCTGAGTGGGATTCGAACCCACGATCCCGGCTTCCGAACGAGCAAAGACAGTGCATGCCTTAGACCGCTCAGCTACCGTGACCGGCAATATTACAGCTTATAGCTTCGAATTGTAGGACGATATATGAATGATGAATTGGAAAGGATCTGGAAGGAAGCGGTCATGGTCTGAGATACTGTCTCAGAGTTTCCCCAGGATGACTAAGGAAGAACTACGAGAAACTTGGCAGGATAGATGTCCTGGCCGAGATTCGATCCTAGCACCTAAAGTGATACCGTTAAAACCAGCCTGTTCTGACCAAGAGACATTTTATATTACAGTCGTACATACTCGTGTGTGCAAGTCTCAAGATAAGCCTCCTTTGCCGTTGGGTTTGCAGACTACAACTCTGTAACTACAACTGTGTAAGTATTGCACAAGTCGCCCGTGCATGCTACATCTTCCGTTCATCTCACTCTTCCCAGCTTAATCGTCCTAATAATATCAGGTAAAGAGTACAATTCCCGATTTCGCTTTTGTTTCATCTGTCTTGTGGCCATATATTTTTCTCAGCGCGTTTTCTTCTCAAAACGCGTAGTCTGTCATTCTTCTGGTAGACCGAAATATCCAATTTCACACCGTTACTAGACAACAGATAAACTTTGGGCGTCTTAGGTAGAATATGAAAAGAGAAAAATTTTAAGCCGATTGTTATCAAGTATATGCAAAATATTATATAATTACTCTTAAAGAAATGGATCGGCCAAACATGTCAAGTGCTGTGTTATAAAAATATGTTTCCAGAAATTAAATTCGAACTCCGCTGTGGAGGTAAACGTAAGGTATCGTACCTACGTAGTATATGTATAGTATATGTGTATAGTGTACATATAGTGTATATGTATATGTACATGTAGTGGGAAGAGAGAACGAGTTCCAAATTCTGATTATCCTGTCAATACTGAATAACGCAAAGCCGTCTGATGCATTTTTCTTCATTATTAGAGAAATCTTGAGTACAGAGGGCGGATAAAAATTCACATAATACGAGTAATTTATAATGAAAATCGTTGTAAACTATTACTTGAAAGACCTGAGGCGAATGTGAGTACTGAAGATTTTAGAGATGTATTTTGTGAAATGTGAACTGAACTCACTAAAGGTTCATTGTCTACATCTGTAAAGACGGTGACAGTTCTTTGGGTTAATAAATTGAAACTCGTTTGTCGACTGTTCGAGAAAGATCTCGTAAGTGGACGTTATTAATTAGTCTGTTTGGTAAGGAGACGCTATCTGGAGACCAGAAGCAAGGCTGTTATATGTACGTAGCGTTTTTGTCGTCCTTTCCAGCAACTCTGCAGTTCCTTTTCAGTCAGTTTCTTTTCTTTGTCTCTCCTGACTTCCCTGTACCATACATTGGTT